GAAGGAGCCGGGCTCTGCCCAACAAGGATGAGCTGGCTCCAGGATCAGTTTTCCCCGTCCAGGGGTGAGGAGACGCCAGCAGAAGCGTGTCCCCGTCATTACGCAGGTCCCTTGGCGGTCAGGGCAGGCCCTTGGCTCGGGCATTGCTGCTTCACATACAATTATTAGAGGGAAACAAGCGATTATCGCTAAGACTTTCAGGTAAGTCCTACCCAGGGTATTTAAGGGGCAGTTCATGATGCAGGAGCTGCCGACACCTATATGTATATATTTCTGCTGACGCCTATATGTATTTCCACTATGTATTTTCTCAGCACAGCAGAAAGCATGTGATGGCTGTTCTGCAAAACGTCTTATGAAACAGCTTCTCCCGCAGTTGCTGAGCCCTGCCAGAAACGGTGGAAAAGCGATGTTTCCAGCGCACGCTTGGGATCGATCTGCCCCCAGGGCAGACCCTGGAAATTTTCAGTCGGCGCCCTTTTGTCATGGCCCGCCTCCTGCATCGTGGGTCCTGATACCGCGCGTCCGGTAACGTTCCCACCTGGCAGCAGCTCACTCCTCAGCTCACGAGAGTGGTCCCCGAGCAGGAGGTCCCTGGGGTCTGGATGAGTCCTGAACATCACCGCAGCTCCATTCCCCGTCACCCAAAACAGGCCATCGATTGGTAAAACCCTCAGGAATAACGTTGGGAGTGTAGTTTTATTTTGTTAATGAAGGGATGAGACTAGTAAAATCATCATAATGATTTTTTTTCTGCATCAGGGGCTGCTCTGTAATATGGGCAGACGGCATTTGTCCCGCACTTTCATCACCACCTGTCTCATAGAGGGTGCGATGTGTCGTCCCCATAATATTCCTGGATGATCTGCTGGTCTTCCTCAACATTTTCAGCTCTTGTTGGCCATAGCATCTTGTAACACCTTTCGCATCTTGTCGACACAGCTCTTTTTGCAGGTCAGAAATTTCCGGATTAGCTGCGTGCCATGGCAAGAATTGCTTTTCCTCCTTGCGCGTCGTGTTGTCCACTTGCAATGTTCTGGTTGTGGGCCTGCATGGTTTTGATTTTCAGCGGTGTTCAAAAAAAAGGGGGGAAATAATCTTTGCAACCCTCACATTCGAATGATTGGGGAAGGCTGCTTAGTAAGTAAAATGTTTAAAGAGTCTCTGAAAGACAGACTGGGGGTGTCAGACTGGCGCTTAGGGACATGGTTTAGTGGGCATGGTGGTGTTGGGTTGACGGTTGGACTCGATGATCTTGGAGGTCTCTTCCAACCTTAATGATTCTATGATTCTATGATTCTATCCACGAGCTTACCACCTTGTATGGCTACTTGCACGTCCATTTTTTCTTTCAGAAGACAACATGGCCATCATAGCCCTCGGTGTTACGTGCTGCGAAGGTGTAGCCCTGGAACTTTGTGTCTATAAACAGCCGAGCTCAATCCACGAGACGTTTGTCCCCCAAAATCCGATTCTGCTTTAGCTTTCCTTTCCACCACTCCCTCATCCCACGGTGCTTATGATTTGTGGGCAAAAATACCATTTGGGATGTTTTTTCCTGTCCTCTGCCTGCATTCGATATCCTAGAACATACAGCCCTGCCCCGTCTTCTAATCGTGAGCGTGAAACACTGATGAAGCTTCAGGCTGAGGTTCAGTCCGTGGCACTTACCGCGTTTCTTGCCTTCACCTTTCTGAGGTTTTCCCGTGTACGCTTTGCACCTCTCCCATGAAGTGATGGGCCATCAGCCTGGTGTTACCGGCTGGGGGCTCTTGCTGCTCCCACCCCTCCCCAGCCCCGCAGGGGGTCTGCAGCCGGGGCAGCTCTTCTCCTGCCCGGCTGACGGGGGTTGTGTCCTCGCCCTCCTGGCACTGTGGACATTGTTTTTCATCTCCCCCGCTTGTTTTGCAGTGGCCACCAGCATATTTGGAGGCTGACAAGGGTATTAAGGGTTTGGCAGATCAGTATCTTCTCCCTCAACCCTCCACTCCCGACCGCCTAATTCTGGAGCGCCTGCAAAGCCTGTGGGCATGCTGAGAGCATGCTGTACAGCATGCTGTATAGCCTCACCTATGGGTCCTTGACCTGGCCCCACTATCATGGTCCCAACGAGGCACGCTGTGACCAGGCACATTTTGCTCCAAGCCTGGAGAAATACGTGCTCGTGGCAAAGGGGTTTTTGGGTCACACCACGCCCCGGGCTTGAAGGATCTGCTCCTTGGGCTGAAGAATCAGGAAAAATTCAAAGAGCTTGTGGAAATGAGTCTTTATTATAAATAGTTGCTGCACTGGGCACATCCTGGCAGGGCGGTGATGGCGGGAGGGACTCGGTGGCCGGCTGCTCCATGCTGCTGTGACACCCAGTCCCGCTGGGGTACAGGCTGGCTCTGCCTGTGGCACCAGCGCCCACGGCCACGGGACCCTTTGGAGAAGTGCCGCGAGCGTCATCTGCTCCCTCCGGAGACGGGAGGACTGGATGTGTGGGTAGGACTGTGGATGGCAGAAGGTTTTCATTTTTTCCTTTGAAGCTTTTTCATGGCTCTTTTCACCCAGGGCTTCTTGGGGTCGGCGCAGATCTTGTCACCGGTGGCAGTCACAACCCTGCAGTGAGAAAGTGAGGAGAGAGAGTGAAAACATGAACCATGAGCTGTTCCCTTCCCACGCACTACTCCTCCCCTCCCTGTGTGCAGCCCCATCCTGGATGGAGGCTTGGAGCCATCGCCAGCAGCCCCTGCCCTCCTCGGGCTGACGGTGCACGTCCGAGTCTTCCCGGACCACTGGCATTAGCAGAAAGCACCAAAACCTATTTTTTTTTTTCCCCCTCTGCCCATTCCGCTCTTCTCCCCCAGCCCCCCGCCCCCAGGCACGTGCTCCCAGCTGGGACCAGGCTGTCTGCGGGGCAGGACGGGATGGGGGGGGAGCTGCTCCAGCTCCCAACCGTGACGCCGTGCTGGGGGTGCATCCCGTACCCCGGGGGTACTCACACAACTGCAGGCAAGGAGCAGTCGCTGGGCGTCTCATAGAAACTCTGCACGTGTCGGACGGGTTTCTGTGCGTACTTGAAGCAGCATTCGACGGGCGTGATGTGGGCTGTGAAGGGAAGGGAGAGACGTTGTGAACACCCTTGGCAGCATTTTGCAACTACTCGCGTCGCCAGACGACGACACCGCAGGATGTCGAATACGGGATGGAGGCTGTGGAGCAGCTCAGCAGCTCCCACAGCGTCCCACGGCAGGGATTCGTTTCCCTTCGCGGCAGCAAGCACAAGGCTGGGAAATGTGGACAGCGGTGGGCGGGTGAGCGGCGTGGGACCCGGCATCCCACAGCCCGCATTGCTGCAGCTGCCAAAGTGCGCAGTGAGGTCGGGGTGCTCGGTCTGGGGACGAGGTTTTGGGGGTTTCCAAGGCGGGGGCACAACTTGCAAGGTGTTTTGGGAGGCTCCAAACAGCTGCACGTGCTCCCCCCCATCCAACCACTTGCTCATCCAGCTGAGACCTGGGGAACGGCTACCAGAGTCTCCTCCAAGCTCCTGCAGCATCTCCCCAGGGCCGGCTTTGCTGAGGCCACCCAGCACCCTCTCCATCCTTCCCTGCACCCCGGGACGTGCCACCCTGCACCGACCAGGGGGTTGCTCCTCCTGCCAGCAGCACCGTCCCTGCTGGGGTTTCATGCCTGACCTCCCCAATGGGACGTCCCCAGTGGGGACCCCGAGCCCTGACCTGCAGCGGTGGCCCATGAGGTGCCTTACCTGTGGCACGGTGCAGGGAGAAGGTGAGGAGCAGCAGGAGCAGCAGGACCATCCTTGCAGCGAGCATGGTGGCTGCGTGAGGGCTCTTCCTCCGTCCTGCTTTGTGCCACCCTGCCCGGTGTCTGTGGCTTCGGCTCTCGGCGCACCGTTATTTATCCTCTGCATGCCACCCACTTTAACCGCTTTTCCAAAAATTTCAGACATGTTCTAAGAAGCCCCTTCCCAGGGAGAAGGGGATTTCTGTCGTTGTTTATTTTGGGGGCACATCCAGCAGTGGGTGGAAGAGGCCGAGGAACAAGGCAGTCACTTCTGCTTTCTGCGGAAGAGCTGCGAGGGGCTTCTAGGAGGCTTGGGAGGAACTGAAATTTACCCAGGAAAGCAAATTAAAAACAACTCTCTGTGAAGGCAAGACATCACGTCTAACGCTTGCCTGTTTATTTCTGACAGGAGCGACAACCCAAAATCTCTGAGCAGGAACAGGTCATTGATAGGTTTAGCTGGTTTGCCTGAGTCATCAAAGGCAAGTGTCTAATGAGTCCCCTCCAAACCGGCCTCCCCAGACACCCTGGCCATGCCAAGGGCACTGGGTTAGGCAGTGAAGCACTCTGGGGTGGGGTGGGGTGGGGTGAGATGTTGTCAGGCAGAAAAAGCCACACTGGACCGAACTAGGAGGGACTCCAGAGCAGGGGGTGGCAGAGATGCTTTTGGTGGGTTCAGGAGACTTTACAGAAGGGGAAGAAATGGGGCAACCGCAGTGGGGTGTCTGAGGAGAGCCTGGGTCTTATCCCGAGTCTGAGCCCAAGCATTGCCTTTGCCTCCCACGCCGGCGATGGGATCGAAATGAGAGGGTCAGAGGGATGGAGGCTTGTGGTCATCAGTGCATAGACGGGTCATTTCTGCAGGGAGCTGGGACAAACCCTACCACAACCCCAAGAGAGTCATGCCAGACCCCAGAGAGGACCCCGAGGGCAGGAGGGGCGGGTGGCACAGACCCCGACGGCAGCACCACGGAGCACTGGTGGACATCAGCCCAGCTTCCACGCAGAGATCTGCTCCCCGGGAAGGCAAGATGCAGCTGCGGAGGGGGTGAGGAGCCGGTGGGAACCCACGTGGGATGATGGTGAGTGGGAGCACGGGAGGGGACCTGGCTGTGGTTTGGGGATGAGGCAAGCCAGGACTTCTCGGAGGAGAAGGAAGGTGGAAATGGACCTCCTTGAAGATTATCTCATGTTTGCGCAACTTCTCTGGAATAAGAAAGGAGAAGGAAACAAATCAAATGTGCTGATGACTCTGGTTTGGAAGATGTGGTCTGCAGGACACGGGCTCTGGTGGCCTGGCACGGCAACAGAGTGACCTTGCGGAGAGCTGGGCATGGCACCGCCGGTTTCTAATGTCACTTTCCCCAGGAAAGGGCTCTGCAGGAAGAGAACACCTGATACACAGCTCCTGAACCCCCTTCTACAGTGTCTGCATCCCCCCCCGGCTCTCCCACCTTCCCTTTTGCAGCTCCTACCACGTCCCCGATGTACAGACCCTCGAGCCCAAGAAGACACCAGGGTCACACCACCCCCTAGACGTCGATTAAAAGCGAAGGGCTGTAATTAAGGGAAAAACTGAGCTCATGGCTTTTTCCAGCCAGCATCTCCTCACACAGAAGACCTCATGTGCCAAGCTCTGAGCTCCCTTTTCAGGCTTGTCTGAGGCACGCGGTCACTCCTCCTTTCCCCTAGCTAAATAATCCTGTCCCCAGTCCCATCAGAAGTGTTAGTAGATGCCTCCACTATCTGCTCTTCATAGAGCAAATCAGTGCACGTGGAGTTGAAGGCCTGGAGAGGCCCCCCGAGGTTCTCAGGAGGACCAGGCTTCCCTCTGTCTCCCTGCCTCAGCAGTGGACCTTTGGGCTTGGCTTTAGTCTTCTCCAGCCCCTTCAAAACTGCCGTGCCCGGCGACCTCTCGGGCCATTCCCACCGGCGGCACAGCCTCTTCTCCAGGTGTGGAGCTCCAGGGCCTCCCCCAGATTTGCCTGGTTAGGCAAATGCAAAGGCAAGCAGCCATCTGCGTAGAGAGAAGAGGAGGGACGGGCTGTGCACATGATTTTATTGGTGTCCAGACCAACGGCAACCTCACTATAACTTCTAATGGAATACAAATTTTTTGACTGAGGAAAAACCCTACTTTAGAAATTAAAATGGGTAGGCATGGACAAAAAAACAATGTAGAGATAGGAAATATTCTCTGACTTATACAATGGTTTATTTTTTGAGTGGGTAATCATAAATCATACTTTAACAGGGTATGTGAATCCTCTACATATGATAAATGCCAAAGAAAATGGAAGAGCACAAGCCACTTGCACACTGGGGATGCTGGTCCCTGACGCCAGCAAAACCCTCTCTGGAGGAAGCCTTCATCACCATCAACCACGGCCAAAAAGGCAAAGGCGAAACTATAACAGTAACCGACTTTCATAAATTCACCAGAGCCTTCATGCCATGGCTAGGAATAATAGAATTGGAAAAGGCGATCGTAAATGTGTCGAGGGAGATGACAGTATTACAAATGCTATGGTAGCTGGCAAAAAGACCTTATAAACAGAGGTCAGCTCTAGATCTCAAGTGGTGATACAAAACCAATTAGCATCAGACGATCTATTAGAGGCCAAAGGAGGGGTTTGTGCTCTCATTAACACCAGTCGTTGTTTCTGTGTAGACCAAGACAAAAGAATAGGGACGGATGTAATGACAATCCGAACCCACCTGAAGGTTTTTCATAAAATGGAAAAACCCCTGCCCTTTCGCCGGGCGGGGTTGGACACCAGACATTGGTGGATGGTTTGGAACTGTACTTAAAACGTTGTTCAAATCTGTATGTATAGGGCTAATGGCTCTAACAGTAACCTACGTGTCTGTTCAATTAATTATTGGTTGTGCTGAGATCATGTGTCTAAGCAGCGGGCAATTACTCAGCAAGAGATAAAGCTGATGGCAATGCAAATGCATGGGAGAAAAGAAAAAGAAATTAAAGCAGAAGAAAACCAACTCTTTAATATACCAGCATAAAGGCTGCCCTGGGTCCCAAGTGTCTCTGCCGTGTCCGTTCTCTGGTTGCATGGACCCTGCTTGGAGGGGATCAGAGGAGGGGTGTCTGTGGGGCTGGTCCATTCCCTGTGGGTCTGGGAACCGGAGGTCTCATGGGCAACAGTTAAAAACGCTTCCTCAAGCTGAAGCACCTCCTGGTGCACCCCAGAGATCTCAGCCTGCCTCTTGGTGCCCATGAGACCTCCGGTCCCCAGCCCCGCAGTGTGTCAGGGTCATCCCTCCGCACTGGATGGGTTTTGCCTCTGCCATGAAAGCATCCCTGGAGGTGCTGCAGCTGAAATCCCGTTTCCCCAGGAGCTGGGAGTGACGGCAGCAGGGCTGACAGGGCGGCTGTTGCTCGGGGACTGGCTGGGCCTCATCCAGCTGGTGGCGAGTGATGGCTTTTGCATCACTTGGTCGGTTTTTTTGGTGGTTCTCTTTTTTTGGTTGGTTGGTTTTCTTTTTTTCCCCCTTATTAAACTGCCTCAGGGAAAGGAGGAGGAAGTCGGGGGTGATGTTCAGAGTGATGGCATTTGTCTTCCCAAGTCACGGTTACGCGTGACGGAGCCCTGCTCTGCTGGCAGTGGCTGAGCACCTGCCTGCCAGTGCGAAGGAGTGAATGAATCCCTTATTTCGCTTTGCTTGCGTGCGCGGCTTTTGCTTTACCTATTAACCTGTCTTTATCTCAACCCATGAGTTTTCTCACTTTTGCCCTTCCGATTCTCCTCCCCATCCCAAAACCCTGGTGGGGATCACTGGTGAACTCCCCGGCACCCCTGGCATGGAGGGGATTTCCATGACTGTACGTGGGTGGATCCCTTGTCTGCTTCAGCATCCCCTGGCTGTTCTACTTGCCCAGGGAGCTCTGCAGAGAAATCCTTCCTCTGCAGCACAGCTCAGGTACGGTAAAGACCTGGGGAAGATGTGGCAGCCAGGCTGTGGCATGCACGGGGCAATGCAAGGGACAAGCTGAAAGCTCTAAGCCCAAAACCGATGGCAGTTTTGCACCTAAAAGCCCTCAGAGGAGTCTTCAACCCCTTTTGGGTCCCCTTGAAGCGAGTACCCAAATGCCCAGAGCATCCATGCAGCACAGTCCCGTCCCCGTCCCTGCCTGCCCCAGTGAGACCCATGAGGGAGGCAGTGGGAAGAGCTCCCATCCCACCCCAGCCCCCGGGCCAGCTCCGTGCCTCGACCAGCCGGCAGCAGCACAGTTGCTGGGGCTGGGAGGAGAAAGGACACCGCTCTCCAGTACCACATGAAGTAAACCTTTATTTTGTGGCTGTGCTCAGCGGGCAGGTGCTGGCAGGGCCGGCAGCACCCCAGGAGCTGGTGCCCAGCTGGTCGATGTGGTGCAGGGCTCTGGGGAGTCAGTGCCGTCCATCAGCATCGGGGACCTCCGCAGGCCTTTCCAGGAGGATGACTATAAACCTTCCTTCCCACCAGGATGTTGGGTAGCCTGAACCAGGGCACCCGCTCTACATTACAGGGCACGAAGTCGTTTCCTTTTTTGAAGCCTCTCAACTGCTTTCCCCACCCAAGTCATCGCTGGGTTTGTGCAGAACTTGGTTCCATTCCTGATCTCAAACCTGCCGAGATGAAAGGTGAAGCTTGGTGAGAAACGACAGCTATAATCCCACTCGTGTCCATGCCATCCTCCCTTCCCTGCGTTCCTTCTCCTTTCCCTCTGGCCGTGCACGCTACCCCTGGGTACTTGGTGTCCTACAAGCAGCTCATCCTGCATCCCAGTGACTCTAGAGCCTGTGCAGAGCCTTCAGGAGCTGCGATGGACTTGTGTCCTTAACTCGACCCTGTAGAAGTGACCAGACAGGCAAGTCCTCCCCTCTTAACGCTGGAAGACGGCCACTCGTGGAGGCCACACAGACCCGGCCCGGTCCCGTCCCCAGATGGGATGGATGAACTGAACCTGTGGTGTCCCAGGAGAGAGCACAGCGGTGGAGAAATTACCAAGACTTACACAATTGCTGGCATAAA